TATCTGTTTTATCTATCTATATTTATTTTTTAAATACTTTTTTGTATTAAATAGCTACTAAAATTTCTTGGTAACAATTTTATTACTACCTATAGATATATAGGGTGAACCAAAATTACAATATTATTTACCCACTCTTTCAAAAACAAACACACTAAGATTTTCAAATATTTAATGATATTTTACTATTTTTTCATCCATTGATAATTTCTACAGAAATATTTTATATATTTTTGGTTTCTTTTTTGGGCATTTAGTATAGAAATTTTGTTTGAATTCTGTTTTCAATGATATAATTTCGTTAGATTTTCCTAAAATAATGCTACTTTCCAGGCTACTTTATTGTAATTTTATTTTTATTATACTATTTCTTAATGACATCTACATAATATATTTTTTAAATATTTTTTTTATTAAATAGTTATTTAAATTTCTTGGTAACAATTTTTATTAGCATTCATAGGATCATAGGTATATAGGGTGAACCAAAATCACAAAAGATATTATTCAATCCCTTTTTAAAAAACAGATCACACGAAGATTTTGAAATATTTTACTCGTGTTTTCGTATTCACCACCTACTAATCTTTACAGAAATATGTGTATATTTATTGTTTTTTTTTATAATATTTGTATACATATATATTTTTAATAAAAAATATTAGCTGATTTCAATGATATAATTTCATAGGATTTTTTTAAAATAGTGCTACTTTCTTGTAATTTTAAATTTTTTATACTTCGTTTTTTTCGGCTTGCTAATATCTATATTTATTTTTGAAATTATTTTTAATTATATAAATAATTTTTTTAAATTCTTCCTTAATTTATTTTTGGAACTCATAGGTGTATAGGGTCTCAACCAAAATTACGATATTATTCACCCACTTTTTCAAAAACAGGTCACACTATGAAAAGTTAATTTTTTTATAGTCAAATCATATTTTTCTAAATTGAGAATAATAATTTGGTTGTATACAGTATACAGGGGGTTCACGCAGCTACTTAACTTATAATATTTTACTATATTTTTTTTCTACAATCAATTTTTGTAAATAAATATTTTTCTAATGCATATATGTATATGTCAATTTGGAAACTTTTTTCTCTATAAACATTTTTTCTCTGTTACATAGAGTAGTTAAAAGTTAATAAGACCTACATTCTTTAACGCCCTGTATAAGTGAGGTGTTTTATTGAAGCGCGAATACTGAGATACCCTGTATATTTTTTGTTTTACATATATTTTTTATTATAACTTTCAATAACTTCAATCGTTGATTACTATTCAAGATCATATATTATTAAAAGCCAGAGGTTTGTTTGGTGACTTTTTGTATTTTTTTTTTTCTTTTTTCTTTTTTCAGATCGCAATCGAATGGGGACACACAATTGTAATTACCAAACTACACTTATTTTACCCATGCAGACGGCTCATAGAATGCTATCACGTGAAAATCCATCAACGCTCCCAGCTAGTAAGCGTGCGGTTTAATGTCTCTACTATCAGGCTCTAAAAACATGACCGCTGAGTTCGTGTTAGATTAATCCGTCGTTTTACATAGTCTGGGTTCAATATCACAGGTGTCACTCTTTTTCTCTAACGCAAATAAAACTTTATAAGAAATGTTTATAGACTTTTATATCCATGAAAACAAAGGATTTTCATCTCCGCTACATTTCGAACAGGTTATAAGAATTATTAAATTAACAATAATGTCACTTTAACAGAATGAAGTATGTAATAAATGCCAGTACTTTAGTGCCCTAGTATTTTAACTATAATAAACACGAGTACTTTTTAGTGCTCGTATTTCTCTAAAATCGATAGACACAAAAAAAGCAGCGTTGCGGGGTGGTTGCGATGCAATCTGTAGGCTGTGGGTACTGTCGCGAGGGGCCAGTCTCGGAGGCCTGGGACTGTTTCGCCCTGGATTCGTTCTCATATTATTACAGCCCCGGTAGCAGGCCGGGGTTCCCAGGTGCTCGTTGCGTTGTAGTTTGCCAGTGGGTATGTTATTCGACCGCTCCATTACCGGGCGTAAGCTTATATCATGCTATGCAGGCTATCCCATGGGGCCGGGCTGTTGTCCTAAACGTAAAGGGTGTCTGGGGAGTGGGGCTCAGCTCAATTAGAGGACTAGGAGGCTTGTAAAGGGGTGCAGTGGGTTGGCTCATCTGGCACTCTTGGACCGGAAAGGGCAGGTAAACGCTGGTCCTTGAGTGTGGGGAATGTGGCAGAAGACGTTACGTTAAATTGTCCGATCGGAACGTCACAAAACTATGTGGTTATTCTCAGCCTCCGATGTCTTACTAGCGCCTTGCTAGTTCACCACCAATATAAACTGTACTTTATAAAATGTCTTCTATATTTTTACTTTCTTTGCCTCTTCAAATCTGAAAACCGCAGGCATATTAAACTTGTTTTTCCGGATTGCCTTCGCTTTACTTCCGAAAAATAAAAACCCTGTTGTCGAATGGTTTTTTTTCTTCGACGGACACCGTCATAATTCTCTAATCTTCATTGATTCTTTTTCTAAGCTCCGGTCGCCCTGTAGCCCGCAGTGATCTCTTTGCGATCTTCTGGCCAGGTTCCAAGCGAACAAAAATGTCCTCAGGAATTGGGAGGACCAAGCTGGTTTATCGGAGGGTCGAAGGCCTTGGCCAAGCGATTTCCGTTAAAGGTCCTCGACAAGTTGACTAGGAACAACACGCCGCCGCGTGCGGTCCCCCCCGGTTGTTTCTCGGGCTCTGTCCATTTCAACATGCGTTTTATGAAGGTTCGTCAACTTTCTTGGCCGAGGTTATGACCGGTTAAACTCTATTTTTTCTAAAACTCACGGCAAACAAAGCCACGGAAAGTGCGAGTCTTCAATAAACCACTCACTTCTTCGCCTAAGTTATTCATCCTTTAACAACATCCTCATCGTCTTCTTCTTCTCTTATCAAGTCTCACGTAGTGCTGAATGGAGAGTGCAAATGTAATGGAGGTACACATCTTTCTTTTTTCACTGTTTAGTGCTAGTCTGGTCTCTAACGTTGAATATCGAGAGTGCTAAGGCAATGGAGATTTCAAGTCTTCCATTGTTCTCTAGTGTTTTCTTCTTTAGACGTCTGTTTTGTGATTAGGTTCGCACTAAAAATTCCTTGCCTTTAGGATATTAATTATTACTTTCTGATACATTTAAACTAAATTTAATCACCCTGTTCTAGTCTCCGTAATGATGAAACGAGAGTGCTAAGGCAGTGGATATTCCAAGTCTTTCACTGCTCTAATGTTGTCTTTTCCCTTTCTAGCGTTTATTTGGGATTAGGATTCTCCCTCAATAAAAATTCGAGTTTCACAGCCTTTTCTTATTTTTAGCGTTGTCCGTTTAGTGCTTATTTTGAGACAATTCTTTCTAAAAATTTAAAATTTGCTAAACCTAGTCTCCTGTTAATGTTTGGATCGGCGGTGCTAACGACAATACGAGGTTCACAGCCTTTATTGTTTTAGGTCTTCTTTCTAGCGTTAATGGGATTATAATAGATTCTCTCTCTTTAAAAACTAAAAAAAAAACATATACATTCTCTGCTTTAAATATCTTTTTTACTCATGGTCACCTTGTGAATGGATTGATACAATTACGATCGCAAGAGTGAACAGCCTTTCTCCGCTCTCTCGCTCTCTCATTCACGTATAAATTTAAGTAAATTCACTCTGATTAAACTGTTTTATTTCTCTAAATTTATATAATTCTCAAATTCAAACTTATATTAATTTTTATTTAGTTTACTGGTCTTTGAGATGAATGAATTGATAATTCTAAAATAGTGCCGGTTCCAGTCTGGCTTTATTTTAGGGTTTTCTTTTCACTGTTGTAAGAGATTGGAATAAGGGACCATTTCTTTTGTAAATTTTGCTCTGCCCCATCAATTTTTTCTCTGCTCTATCGCTCTATCTAAACTAGTTTGCATAATTCTCTATCTTATCTAAACTAATTTTCCTAATAATCTCATGTCAAAGCGATAGCGCCTCTTTTAAAACATAAACTTCTACCCCGCGATGGATCAGCCCGCACTTTTAGGGGGAGCTGGGTCATACTTCGTTGACGTCTAATCGAATGCGTGGGTATCTCTCTCGTTTTTTCAATAAAGTATTTAGGAGCTAACATCAATAGTCAGTGCGACCCGAAAAGAGAAATATTTTCAAGAATTGAGCAAGCGAGAAATATCTTCGTGAGAATGAAATAATTTTACAAGACGAGACCTCAGTGCGAACCTCAGAACTCGAATGGCCAGATGCTACGTCTTCTGTGTTACTCTATGGATGAGAGCTGGACACTGGATGCACAGAAAAGAGAATAGAAGCCTTCGAAATGTATGTATACAGACGGATGCTGCGAATCTCATGGGTACAAAGGATCACCAACGATGAAGTACTCCAGCATGAAGAAACAAAAAGACATACTGAACACCGTCAAGGAAAGAAAAATGCAATACCTGGGTCATGTGATGAGAGGTGGTAGATACGAAATACTGCGCCTCATAAAAGAGGGCAAAGTGCAAGGGAAAAGATCAGTAGGAAGACGCCAGAACTCATGGCTAAAAGATTTGAGGAGATGGTTTGAACGCTCGTCTGCGCAAATCTTCCGGGCTGCAGTTTCCAGAGCCACAATTGTCATTTGGATCGCCAACCTTCGGCAGGAGAGGGCGTGACAAGAAGAAGAAATAATATTCTAAATATTTTTAACTGTAAATTAGAGGAAAATTTTCAAATTGGGCATCATTGTGCATGACAGCGGTCGGCGCTGACAAAATTAAATCATTACAATCAGCGTTACTTCTTTATGCTGTCTCTTTCTTACACATTGACTTTATATAGACAAGTATACCATCCGCTTTATGTAAATATTATATGGAATTGCGCGATAATGGCAAGTAGTCGAAAATGATTTAAATACTTCATATCTTAATATTATCTTTTAATAATATAAAAAATATGATTTTGTCTGGGGCCTTTTTGCCTACATTTTATTCACTCAACTCTATCTGTAGCAGTGGTAAGAAAACTTAACAATATCTCACTTAAAATCAATTGGTACTTACCGCTGTTAAAAGCACTTTATCATTTTTGTTGGATACCGATAAATTATCGCTGAATTCGACGAGATAAGTGGTACCTTTGTCATTTCCTACCGCTACCAATTTTCCCATTTCGTGAGTTCTGTTGCACCTCAACCTTTCGTCACAAACCTTTACGCTGAGACACGCTTGTTTCTGTTCTTGCAGTACATCCCAAACATCTAATATTCCATCGGATCTAGTTGTAAAGAAAACGGACAATCTGGAAAATATAAACTCCATAAGATAAGGGCTACATAGTTAATATACATACAGTATGTCCGTGGGTTGTTTTAATTGAAAATTAATTGAAAAATAAAAGAAATATAAATCGTCGTTGATTTTTTTCAAGTCCCAAAAATCAGAATGCGTTTCTATGGTAACATCATTTCGTTTTCGTTCTTTTATCGGCGCGGCGCGCACAGGGCAAAATGCTATATCTAGCTCGACAAAAATCGAAATTACAAATATTTTTTTATCCATATGTTTATCCATTCACTATCGTTCTTATAAAATATGTGGACCTAATTTTAAATATTATATTTTTTTCTGACCAACTATAACGGTGCAAGCGCTACCGAAAGTTGATGAGTCCAGACTTTCTGGGAAGAGCGTTAGCCTTGCACAAACATGGAGCGCAAAAGAGTGTCATTTACACCCAGCACAGCCATTTGAAAATTAATTACCATTATGGACAATATAGCTACAGACATGTAGTACAATTAAATAACATCAATATAATCAATTTGAATTGTTTTGGATGTATTTCAGATTTATTTTAAATACACTATTTTGGGTTTTTTTTTTAATAATTTTATTTTCATAATGGGTTATAGTTATGCGTTCCACGGAGTTCCGCTTTTAATTTAATAAAATTAAAATCACTAATGTATGTATGTTGATACAGATATAAAAAATCAGCTTTCCCAAATTTGCCTTTTTTTTAAATAGCCCGTTATTTGCATGTAGCCGCACTGATTTCTATACGAGTCCTGTAATATCAAGAAAGGATTTTTTAGTTTTAAGAAGACAGATATTCTAAATTATGAATTTCTAAGTTTATTACAAGCTTTTTTTTTCATATATTATTGATACTAGAAAAAATTCAAATGGCTGTACTGGGTGTAAATGACATTCTTTTGCGCTCCGCGAAAGTTGCGAACTACATCAATTTTCGTTAGCGCTTGCACTATTCTAGTTGAATGAAAAATTTTATAATAATATTTAAAATTAGCCCTACAAATGTAATAAGAAAAACAATGTGTGCATAAACATACGAAAAAAAAATTAATTTGGATTTTTGTCAAGCTAAACATGGCATTTTGCTGTGTGTGCGGCGGTTGAAATTTATTCAGTTCAATGTTATGGAGAAGGTGATTCAATATTTTGTGCTTCTTTGTAGTGATCAGCGAAACTGGTCTTGGTATTGTACAAAAAGCAAGACCAAAACTAGCGTTTGATCTGCAAGACCAACCAGTACAAAATTTCCGCAAGACCAAGATCAAGCACGCAAAAACTCTTGTGGCCTTGCATTTTTTTCACGTTTTTTTTTTATAAAAGAAATTACTTATTTGTTCTAAATTATTGTTTTAATTCATTATAAATAGTGTTTTCCCGACTATCGTATAAGATTTTCGCCAGACAAATGTTCTAATAAATTGAAAATGTCAAAAGTTGATATATGATATGTCATTCTATACAGACTGTCATTTTCTCTCAAATAAAGTAAAAAAATACCGGGGGTACCATCTAAAAATCAAAAGTTGTAGTGAATTCGGGTGAAGCACGAAGAGACCGAAAGTAATATACGTCAATACGTCAATCAATCCCGATTTATGTCATATTATACAAACATACCAATTTTCGTTTTATTATCTGAAAAAATAAAAAGTTATAGGGGTGAGCCACTTTTGAGAAACATCCGGTATATAATAACTATTTAAATGAATAATTAATATCTGTCTATACTTATTGGTTTTCATAAATCAAAACTTGATTTGTACTAAAATAAACTCCTTTCATAAAAAAAGGCTGAGTGCCGAAAATTATGCAAATTTGCAATCCGTCGGTAAGTACCTGAGCCGTCTTTGTTGACAGTATCAATTACTAGTAAATACCTCAATTTAACAACTATCAATGAAAACTTTTAGAATTCGCCTTTTTTGTTACATAGTACCTATTCTCAGGTAATATTATTATTGCTCTTCTGTAGTGAGAATTATCCTATTGTTATTAGACCTTCCAACTTTTTAATTAGGTTTTAAAAGTAATATTAACTAAATAATCTAAATACTATCCTATCCTACCATAAAGATCGTCTTTTTTTCATAAATTTAAATTCAATTATGTCTATCTTTTGCAATACTGTTCCTTAAAAGAGACGAGTATTTATGGTCAATATATAATAAAGTTACATCAGTACACAATTTTCTTACAATAGGTCTAATGAGTGTGACCTATTACCATATTAACAATTTTGCCAGATCTACAGTATTTACTTACGTTACAATGGATAAAATACACTACTCAAAACAATTATCGCATATTTGAATAAAAGTTATTATTTACATATTTCTAAATGAACCATGTGAGTTTTTTTTGGATAATTAGGGTATCCACTGACATGTAATTTTTGTGAAAACAATTGAATTCAACAAGTGAAAACGATACACTCTCATGGAGCCAATCAGCCCAATATTTGATTGCATTGCGTAGCCTTAGGCTATACGCTGACAGGCAATGTTTAATCCGTCGATCATTTAATTTCATAATTGTAACACGTCCTTATGGAGCCGCGCTCACATTCAATCAAATAGTCGGCTAAACGGCTCCATAAGTATGTATTGTTTTCACTTTTGCAACTAAATAGTAGGCTGACTAAAAATTTCAGGTCAAGGCGTAGGGTTATTGCTTCGAATTTTCCCTTCACAGGTTCCAAACTATTTAAACCCGTAAGTCAGGGAATTCAAAGTGTCTTTGTTTTTCAAATTAATATCAACTTTTGACTCATTTAACCGAATTCGTGTCTCTTGTAGTTTCCGAAATACTAATGTGGAGCATCGAAATAGTCACCGTCCTATATACATATTCATCTTGTAAAATTTAAAAATAACTATTACATTTATAACAATATTACAATAATGTCTAATAAATCAGCAAAACTTAATCCATCCAATTTCGGAATTTTTACGAAATTCGGCAACACCGAATTAGTATGGCGTAATCTAAGGGCTTAACCAATGGTTTAAAGTGTAACCAGACCATTTCAAATATGTTTAATTATTATACCCTGGAAGAACATACTTTGGAGGCATTCTAAAAGATTTTGTGTTTATTAGATGATATTAAAAAATATGTATTAATTGCCAGCCAACAATTCAATAGGATTTAATACTTGCCAGACGCGAATAAAGATTTTAAATGAGCGCGATAAGAAAGTCTTATGAGTATCTATAAGCGCGAGAAAGATAGTTTATTGAGACCCGGTCGGCAGCCGATGTAAATTAAAGCATGTGGGCTCTCTACAGCACTATTGGCCGTTTGTCATAATTAGGCAGCCATATTCTTCTATTTTGCTGTCATTCTTCTTTAGTATCTCTTCTGATTACAGCATCTTGTATACCTTTGTCCAAAGATATCTTAATGATATCATTTTCCGTTTGCTCTCGTATGTCACAAGTCTTTGGTTTGACATTCTTTTCATATGGTCAAAACACACTAATTATTGTTTTGCTCTGTGCCACGGTACTCTCAAATATTCTTTGGTGTAGGTGTACCTTTATTGGGGATTTCTTATGTCTTTGTCTGTATTTATGTAGAGACCGAGCGTCAAAATTCAATATTATTGGTCGTTTCGGTCGATTTTCGTCATTTCGAGACGGACTGTTGACAATGTAACGTCTTTGTCGGTTGACTCTCCAGAATTTTTAAGGAAAAGTGCCTTTTTCTTGTATATTGTGCTCGAAAATCATGTGTAGTGCATGGCTGGACTCTTAGAGAGGGTAAGTTCGACCATTTTCCTACGAATTTCCCGATATTTTTCAATCAACAAAAAAAGTTAAAGCCACCTTTATTTTGTTAAACTTTCCGTTTCTTTCTGTTTGCTTTTTTATACTTTCTGTTGCTATAAATAGTTCTTTTTTATGGTTGTACTGTATTAAAATAAATCATTTTCAGACTTAAATAGTTTGTTGAATATAGTATTTTAGAAATAAAAACCTTATATAAGTGAATAAATTATAGTCAATCCATTTTCTCAAGAATGTTTCTAATAGTAGAGCACTTGATATGGTTTTTCTTAAATATATTATATAATAGAAGAATACTTATGTAATAAATATTTTATAAAATAATCTAAATAGAGTTTAGGAACCTGTAAGACAGAAAAATTACATCTGCCTATATTTATACTAAATAACATTTAGAAACTTAATATAAGGTAATAATTATTAGTACTTAATATTGTAGGTATAATTGATTGTTATTGATAGTTTTTCTGAAGCTAGTAAATTGTCTTTGCTAATTTATTAATTTTATTTATTTCTTAGAGACTTTTTGCTTAGGTTTTTATGTTTCTAGATATTCTTGTCTTGTACAGGGTCCGGTAATAATGCGTCGGACATCTGTAAGCTCCTAGAATAAAAAACTTGGGAATTTCGTTTTTGTGCAAGTAACCAAACCTAAAGTATGTACGAGGATGTATTTCAGCAAAATATTTTAATTTCTATAGAGTGGCTCAAAAAAGTGTGACTGGATCGGGATGCTTTTTTTAAATGAAAAACCCTGTATATTGCATTTTTGGCTTCCTTCCAGATCACTTTATACATATATTATAATCCTAAGATATGAGTAAATATATTTCGATAATTTCAGAGATAAATAAAAAATATATATTTTTTAAACTTTTTTAAAAAAATTATTACAAATACAAGAACTGTCCTGATATCAAAAGTATATTAGGTATTTACTTTAGATGGTATATACTTTCCTATAAATACCGTAATCTTAAATCATACTGGATATTCAAACTTTTAAATGTTTTTTTTGTCTAATTTTTGAATGTTTTTTTTTAAATGGAAAATCCTGTATAATATGTAATTTTTTTAATTATTTCGCAGATACACGCAGTATTATTTCATATGGCTTTTCAGCGGTAAAATACTAGAGAAAAATCATTGGGTGGCTTTGATAAAAAATTACTGTGGAAAATGTCATATTAAATATAAAACCGCTAATATCTGCAAAACCGTTAAAAATTTTGAAATAATCTAAATACAAAAAATGTTCATTTTTTAATTCTCCATCTATTGAAATATAATATGCAGAGTGTTCCATTTAAAAAAAAACAAGAAAATTATTTTATATTTTAGAAAGTCTGGCGTAAATTTTTGAACATCCTGTATGATTTACGATTACCATATTTATAGCAAAGTAAGTACGGACCATCTAAAGAAAATACATAATATAGTTTTGATTTCAGGACAGTTCTTGTATTT